ATCAACTGAGTGCTACGTAGGCTCTCCCGAGAAAGCACAGACTCGTACCCAGTCGCCTCTCTCACTTTTCTTTGTAGCGTGCGTTGCACCTGGGGTAGTTGAGATAAACAAATTTTCTCCTTCAAATCAACCCCTTCGATCGTAGCAAGAAGATTGGGCTTGAGCCTGTGCTTGCAATGACTGCGTAGAGAATATGAATTGTACGGGCTGCAGCCATGTTGTGGAAGCTACCAAGGTTGGCATGGAGAAGTCTCCAGTTCTATTTTCTGACTGATAAATTATAAGCGATGAGAGCTACTATTTTTTGGGCACGATCTAAATAGCCCCATGATAAACGGGCATGTTTTCTTACTACAATTAAGCTAAGGTAATTTGTTCTCTAAGGTCACTGTTATAGAGCCTCTATTCAACAAACTGTGTTGATGTTTGGCCTATTTGAGTTGCAGTTGCTCTTTTTGCTTTACCATTCTTTTTAATACCAACTAACCATGAGTCAGGATTTTTGTCTTTGAATTTGTATGATTGGAATGACTGGTAATAGTTCTCCAGATATAATTCCTTGAATACTGTATTTAGCGATGGTTGCTTCTAGTAAATAAAAAGGAAAATATTTAAAAAAAATTATAAATTAAATCATGACTACTGACAAATCTATAGAATGAAGTCAGGTCAACTGTAGGCAGCCCAACTAACAACTAATGCTTAATCTTTAGTTTATTTTTATTAGTTATCGAGAAATGGGGAAAGGAAAGAACGGGTGCACGCTTTTGCATTAGCACGCTCACTGGAAAAAATCGCTCGCTTTAAAGGTTGTAAATTTGATGTAAATATGGTGTTAGTGTCCAAAATTCTGTAAATTTGATGTAAATGATTTCCATTAAATTTACAGAATTTTGGACACTTACATCATATTTACATCAAATTTACAACCTTTAAAGCGCGCGATTTTTTCCAATGGCTCTTTAAAGCTAGTGTACTCGCATTAGCCAATCAGCGCTAAAATACAGATTATTGATCTTTACCTGGCCTATTAATTGCCCTCTGTCATTAATACTAAGATATCGTTTAGAATGTACTCCATATATCCTCATTATCCCATGTCCTATTGAGTGTAGTTCTAGCTGAGCTATGAGTAAGAAATGTCTGTTAGATCATACCAAACATAATTTTAATCAAGTATGTCACTCCAAAACGTTTCAAGCTAAACCCAGAAAGCATCTTGGGATACACTTGCGTTTGCATGCGTTTTGGTCAGTTTTAGTCAAATCTACTAGAACCAATATCTGACAGGCTACACGAGCGATTTTTTACTTGCGCAGGCGACGGCATTTTCGATGAAAGCTGAGCATTGCATTTGAGCTGTTTTTGTACGTATACTTTTTTATGGAGATTCAAATAAGTATATTTGTGAGGATTTTTTTTATCGAAACAGCATTGTCGCTTGTGAAGCCACATCGTGCGCTGGTCAAGATTTTGAGAAAATCGCGTCGTCTGCGCAAGCGAAAAATCGCTCGTGTAGCCTGTCAGATTTTGGTTCTAGTAGATTCTAGTCGCTCGTGTATTGAAGGCCGCAACGCCTTGGAATACATTGCAGTCTAGATACTCACTGTATATTGATTGRTAGTTGGWAGTACCGCGTACTGTCCCGCTGGGTAATATTTCTAATCTGTAGCGATATCGACTATCCAGTACAGCTTTTCGTATCGTCTTCCATCTAGTTACATTGTTCAATTTGACTATCTTGTTAATAACCTGAAATCATCAAAATAGCACGAATAAGGAATGAGGAATTGATGGATTTATCAAAGGATGAGTGCGTTGATGCATCAATTCCCACAACCCCCGTGGAGGGTCGGGGAATTAACACATTATAGCCGGGGAATTAACCCCACAATCAACGGAAAGGCGGGGGAATTCTAGTCTAAATCAAGTGGGCCGTAGTTTCAATTGACTAGTGTATATTACTGGTATGGCATTGTCAGTTTTTATATCGATTTTTTTTTTTCTTTTTTTTTGTCGCAAAAATTCCATTTAGGTTGCCGCGGACCCACCAGTGATCGAATAGACCGTGATAAACGAACGGTGCGCCATCCCGCGGGTTATTCCGAGCTGGTAGGTATATGTTTGTCCTGTATTAATGAAGAGGTTCTTACTTTATCTTCTTGAAATGACAGAGGCTTCGCTAAGGATAGTGGGATGACAACCATAACCAATAGTATGCTATATATATGTACACTCTATCAAATAAAAGGAAAAACAATAGTTAGTTATAATTTCAAATGCGTTTTAGTTATTAAGAATATTTTGCCATACACGTTTTGTTTTCAGCTGACGAACTTGTTTTTCTATTTGTTTATTACAGCTCATAGCTTTCCGCCGATTATGCAAAATTGAAATTTTAGCCCACGCATGTTTGATAATAAGGCCTCAAATTTAATTAATAATCTTGAAGTAAGGAGAATTATCTTCTAATTACAACTGCGTATTTTTCTCCGGTAGAATTGGTTTGAGTGGGCTGAGGTAATTGAATCAAGTTCGCCCCCCTCTTGGAAAGTAATTGAATAGATATTGAGCTTTGAAACATCACTTAAAGATCACTTAAATGTGTGCTAAAAACGATTTTGAGTTCGCATCATTTTACAGTTTTCCGTACAACAGGGTGTCACGCCCATATAATAACTGCTATGTCTCTCGAAAATACGAACGTCTCTCTTAAATACCGAACGCCCACTTCCTTGTATCTGAATTATGTTGACCTCTACAGATCGACCATTCTACAAAGTRACYACCTCATTACGACCACTTRAGCRCAACGATTAAATCTATATAACGATCGACATTTTGCCATTCAGSAAGCACCTCAATATATAAGCTACCTGTTTAGATCGACCACATGTTCGCATCGACCAAAACTTGGCCTCCAAAATCTCCTATATATCAGGCTATATATATCACATGGCATCAACTGAAATTCTTTCTGAAATTCAA